ACTTTATAAACTTTTACATAAATAAATTTGAAAAACCTAGATTAAACAGATAACTTCTAAGGAAAATCGTTTTCCAAAAATGACCCGATAAGAGAGATAAATTTTCCTTAGAAAAAAATAGAGAAAGTTATCAAAAACAACACACACATGCCAGGTCCAGATGGTTTCACAGAGGAATTCCATAAAACCCTCAATGATACTACATGATGTATTCTAAAGCATAGAAAACCGAGAAAATAGCCAAGTTTATTTTATAAAACAAACATAATGTTGACACCCCAATTTGATAAACAATACAAAATTTAAAAACTATAGACAAATACAATCTATAAATATTTTAAATGCTAAATAAAATATTAGCAGATTAAAATCAACAAAGCTAAGGATTAAAATGGTATGATTATCTCCATAGATGCTAAAACATCATTTGGCAAATTCAGCATCCAATCCTGATTTAAATATACACATACACTCAAGAAAACAGAAATTGTTGAATACTCTCTAACATGGTGATAAAGCCAACATCTTACACAATGTAGAAATACAGGAAGTAATTAAAGAAACAAACAAGGCAGGGCCAACGCTATCTAACACTGGACTAGAGATGTTAACCAAAGATAAGAGATGACAATTATGAGGCAGAAGTATTGTAAAGACAAGATATAATTACATTAAAAAGTGTCTGCAAGGCAAAAAAGAAAAGAAAAGAAAAAAAACCCAAAAATGACAACCCATAAGCTAGCTCAAAAGACAACAAAGAGGCAGAAGATGTTTGCAGTATATATCATACTTAAATGGTTAATATTCCTAATACATAAAGAACTATTTAAAAACCCAGGAAATTAAGCGGGAAAGACCAACACCCCAAGGAAAAAAAAATACACAAAGGATGTCAACAGTCAATTCATAAAAATAAATTTTAAAATGGTCCTTATCAAAAGAGAGAGACTAGAAGTAATGATACACAAGGAGCAATAAGCATACCAAGTGGATTTTCAATATCACTGTCCACCAAAAAGGCCCTCAGAGAAATGTCTAGGTCTTGGGCTAGGACAGGCAAAGTAAAAGATGAGCCTGGGACATTTTTATCAGCCAGAAAAAAAAGAAAATACTAACACAAGGATGAAAACACATCAAAAAGACATGGGAACCAATTTAAAGACACTCCCGTGTGCCTTTGGTGTTCAATAAATTAAACATCAAAATGATGTGAAGAAACGAATAAAGAATCCACTCGTTAATGCTAGTATTAACATACAAGCTCGAGAGAGCTTTTACAGTGAAATGTCAATTAATAAATGTAGAAGATGGCGTTAGAAAATTCCCACTTGGCCACTTTTTGTTTTATAAAATACACTTGGTTAATTCCTTGGGTTTCTATGCTCTAGAACATGTAGTATCACTGGAATCAAATGGTCAAGGTTTCATTAATAAAGCATCTGGGCATACACGCACACGTGTGTTGTTCTTGAGAGCTTCCTCTATTTTCTCAAATGCTATCACAGTAACAACTGTGATAGAATCATCAATGGATACTAAAATTCATGGGTGAAAGTTTCATAAGAAACAAGCTATATAAATAACAGAATGCAGGTGTAATGCTGCTCAAGTTCATCCATTACCATCCATTAATAATGCAAAATTGCCCTCTAAATTCCCTGTACAAAACTTCTAAGATTAAAAATTATAATACTTTATGAGATTTCAACAAAATAACTTTAACATAAGAAAAGAATAAATTTGTCTTCTACAATTTACCAAAATATGAGTCTAGACTCTAGGGAACAAAAACAAATATTAGCTAATAAGAACAAGAATTTTCCAAAATGTATACTAAAAAATGCAAAATAAAGTAATATTCCCCAATGAAACTTGAGTAAAATATATTTATAAAAAGCTCACTTTACGGACTGGAGTGAAATAGCCAGGAGAGAGTTAAGTGGTAAATTATGTTGTATCATTATTAAACAGAAGAAAAGGGAATTTTTTTTCTTCCATCAAAATCATCCATAAACAAGAATTTATATTTTTTTAAAGTAAGAAAATATACTGATCATAACCTACTGTGATAGATGCTATAACAGCAACATTTGTAATAAACAAAGGCCTATGTTTTAAATCTATAGCTTAAGCAACACGGTGAAACCCTGTCTCTACTAAAAAATAGAAAAAATTAGCCAGGCGTTGCGGCCTACACCTGTAGTACCAGCTACTCCAGGAGGCTAAGGCAGGAAAATTGCAAGAACCCAGGAGGCGGAGGTTGCAGTGAGCTGAGACGGCACCACTGCACTCAAGCCTGGGCGAAAGAGGAAGACTCCGTCTTAAAAAGTAACAACAACAACAACAAAATCTATAGCTTAAAAATTATGCCTAAGTAAACTGCTGGCATAGCTCAGAGATACTGCAGGTTCAGTTCTAGACCACCTTAATATAGTGAATATTACACTAAAGCAAATCACACAAATTTTTGGTTTCCCAGTGCATATAAATGTTATGCTTAAACAATCCTGCAATCTACTAAGTATGAAATAGCATTACATCATAAAAAACAACGTGTATACCTTAACTTAAAAATGCTTTATTACTAAAAACTGCTAATGCTCATCTGAGCCTTCAGTCAGTCCTAATGTTTTTGCAGGTGGAGCATCATGCTTAGATATTTATGGCTGCTGACCAATCAGGGTGGTAGTTGCTGAAGACTGAGGTGGCTGTGGTAATTTTAAAAAATAAGACAACAATAGAGTTTGCTGCATCAATTGACTCTTCCTTTCAGGAAGATTTCTCTGTAGCATGCGAGGCTGTGTTTCATAGCATTTTACCCACAGTAGTACTTCTTTCTAAATTCCTCTTAAACCCTTCTGCTGCTTTAACTAAGTTTGGGTAATATTCTAAATCCTAATCCTTTGTTGTCATTTCAGCAATGTTCATGGCATCTTCACCAGGAGTAGAATCCATTTCAAGAAGCCACTTTCTCTGTTCATCCATTGGAAGCAACTTCTCATCCATTAAAGTTTTATTAGCAGCAATTCAGTCCCATCTATAGGCTCCTTTTAAATTGTAGTCCTTTTGCTGTTTCCACCACATCTACAGTTACTTTCTGCACTGAAGGCTTGAATCCCTCAAAGTAATCTATGAGGGCCGGAATTAACTTCTTCCAAACTCCTGTTCCTGTTGATATGAATGTTCTTAACAATATCTAGAATGGTGACTCCCTTCCAGAACATTTTCAATTAACTTTACCCAGATCCATCAGAGAAATCACTACCTACATCTGGCAGCTATAGCTTTATAAAATGTATACTTAAAAAATGAGACTTGAAAGTTGAAATTACTCCTTGAACCATGGGCTGCGGAATGGATGTTGTGTTAGCAGGCATGAACAAAACATTCATCTCCTTGTATATCTCCATTATAGCTCTTGGGTAAACAGGTATATTGTCAACGAGCAGTAATATTTTAAAAGGAATCTTTCTGATCAGGTTTCAACAGCGGGCTTAAAATATTCAGTAAGCCATGCTGTAAACAGATATACTGTCATCTAGGCTTTGTTGTTCCATTTACAGAGCACAAGCAGACCAGATTTAGCATAATTTTCAGAGTAGTAAATGAATACTGGCCTCAATTTAAAGTCACCAGCTGCATTAGGCCCTAACAAGAGAGTTGGCCTGTCTTTTGACACTTTAAAGCCAGGCGTTGACTTTTCTCTAGCTATGAAAGCCCTGGATAGCATTTTCTTTCAATAGAAGGCTGTTTTGTCTACATTGGAAATCTGTTGTTTAGTGTAGCCACCTTCATCAATGATCTTATTTAAACCTTCTTGGATAACTTGCTGCTTCACCTTGCACTTCTATGTTATAGAAATGGCTTCTTCCTTAAACCTTATGAACCAACCTATGCTGCCTTCAAATGTTTCTTCTGCAGCTTCCTTAACTCTCTCAGTCTTCACAGAATTGAAGAGAGTTAGGAGCATCTCTAAATGTTGTGGCTGCTTTGACCTTCTATCCAGGCCACTAAAACTTTTTCCATATCAGCAATAAGGCTGCTTTGCTTTCTTATCATTCTATGTTCACTGGAATGAACTTTAATTTCCTTTAAGAAATTTTCCTTTGCATTCACAACTGTTTGGTGCAAGAGATCTAACTTTTAGCCTAGCTCAGCTTTAGACATGCCTCACTAAGCTTAATCATTTCTAGCTTTTGATTTAAAGTTAGACATGTGTTCCTTTCAGTTGAGCACTTAGAGGCCATTGTAAGGTTATTAATTGGCCTAATTTCAATACTGTTGTTCCTTGGAATAAGGAGGCCCAAGGAGAAAGAGAGAGATAGGGGAACTGCTAGTGATGCAGTTCAATCACACACAACATCTATCAATGATTCACCGTCTCACAGAAGTGCAGTTCATGGCACCCCAAAACAATTACAGTAACATCAGAGATCACTGAACACAGGTTATCATCACAGATATAATAATAATAATAATAATAATAAACTTGAAATATTGTGAGAATTACTAAAATGTGACAGAGACACAAAGTAATCACATGCTGTTGGAAAAATGGCATCAATAGACTTGTTCAGTGCAGGTTGCCAAAAAACTCCAATTTGTAAAAAACTCAGTATCTGTCAAGTACAATAAAGCAAAGTCCAAAAAAACAAGGTGTGGTTGTATGTACAAGTCAAATTTTGATTGAACAAAATTCTAATTTGACATAGTCAAACTATCAGTTATAGCAGTATTTCTCTAATTTTTTTCAAAAGCATGATAAATTTTCATAACAAAATTTTATACAGAATCTTGAAATGGAAATAAAAGCATAATTTCCCTGTTTGAAATCATTATGAAGTATCCAGAAAGTGGAGTATTCTACATGTCTTCCTTCCAGGTCTCTATTGGAAAATCTAGGTATCTAGAGTTTAAGCAAACTAGACTATAAAGGGTTCTTATTATAAAGATGCCAATTCAACTAATTGTAATAAGACTTTTTTTTTCAGTCCACTCACCTACATTCCACATACAGGCTTGTGATCTTACAGTGACACTTTATTCTAAGCATCTGAACACAAGGTGGACATTCTCCAGGGTGACATGGCAAAACACATGGGTGAAGACAACCTAGTGGCCGTGGCCTGGAGCACCCTTCTTCACAATGAAGGCATTCTGGGCCAGCCTGAAAAATAGCAAGAAATAAATCACCTAAGTACAAGGTAAGCCTAACATTTCTATATGTTAGAGTCATAAAATGTATATATCCCATTAAAATAAAGTACTTCTGCAGCTCTTAGAAACATAGTTAATCAAATGGTACATACTCTTATTTATCTTAAAAATATTCATATGAAAGAATAGCAAGATTCTCAATATGACTATTGTTCATATAGATTTTTTTTTTGCTTATAAACCTCATTAAGTCAAACTGCCTCATTTTTAAATGAAACTTAAAATGAACCTGACCATATAAAGTATCCCACTAAAAATGTAAATTACTTCCTAAAGAATAATCAGAGACAGACAAGAAAATACACAGAGTAAAAACGTTTATTCATTTCTATACAATAATCATCACTGAACTAAAGGAATCAATACATTGTTAACACATAAATTAAAAATCCAAAGCACTCAACAGCTGGAAGATAATTATCCCATCTTGCCAAAGAGAAACACATATAGAATGAAAAAAGAATGACCAGTAGTTTATATTTTAATGCATATCAATGAACTAAAGCTAAATCACATTTTACAAATAAATGTGTACCTCAACGTAACTTAAGGCACCTCCCTTTTCTCTAGTGATTTAATAATTTAACTAGCATTAGAATCTACTAAAAAAGGTTAAAAATACTTGTTTCAGGATATGGTTTGTTTTCTCAGGTCATACTTGAGGTAAAATAAGAGAGCTATAGACATGGGTATTAAATGTTAAAGGTGAAACGTTTTTATCATAATTCCAAAGAGAAGCCATGATTACAATAGTTATTATGATAAAATTCTAAGCTATTTTTTTACATATAGGATTAAAAAGAAATACTGTTTCAAATTATAAAAATATTATTTTATAAATAATTTTTATTTTTAAAAGGCATATTCATTTATTCCACAAATACTCAATACTTACGTCCCAGGCATTGTTCTTAGCACTGGAAAGAAATGAGACAGGCCCCTGGAACTTACCTTTATATGAGGAGGTAAGATTATGAATATAATATCTTGGTAACTAATCTGAAGAAAGATAAAGCAGGATAAGAAAGAGTGATGATACCAACAAGAATGAAGCCTGCCTGATAAAGATCACATGTGAATAGAAACCGAGTTAAATGAGGGAGAGAACCATCAGAATAGAGAGTTCCAAAGGAAAAGAACAAGTACAAAGGCTCTAAGGAAATACAAATGTGGAATGTTCAAGAAACTGGAAGAACAGAAGCAGAAGTGAGTAAGCAAGAGAGTGATGAGTAGTTAGATGAAAGCTGGGAAAGACAGGAGTGAGATCATTATTGAGCCTTTATAGGCCACTGAAAAGGATTTAAATTTTGGCCTGAGAGTGACTGAAAACTATCAAAGGATGTGGAGCAGGAAGATGATACCTGATTTACATTTTTTAAAAGATTAATCTGGCTGATGCAGTAAAACACAGTGAGAGTTGAAAGGCTGGTTAGGAAACTACTGCAGAAATCTAAGTCAAAGGTGATGGTGGCTTAGATGAGGATATTAGTGCTATAGGTTACGAGAAACTGTCAGTGTCAAGATCTATTTTGAAGATAAACCTAGGAGGATTTTCTTTGGAAAAAACGGACAAGAAAGACAAGAAAGAAATCAAGCATGATTCCTATGTCTTTGATCTGCACAAGTGGGTAAAAACGGTAAAATGACTTTCTGAAATGGGAAAGACTGAGCGAGTATTAGGCAACGAGTAACAAAATATGCAAAGAGAACCAAAGTTAACATAAAGAGTCTATTCCATTTGCTCTTCCTGACTATGTGGTACACCTACAATAATCTTCTATTTAAACGACAAGAGTAGAAGAGCACATTGGGCTGGGAGTTAAAAGATCAGGCATAATACTTTCTGATCTACTACTCTCCTGTTGCATAATCATGGACAAGTCACAGGGCTTCAGCTTCCCTATCTGCAAAATGAAAATTATACTTAGAATATGAGTTCCTTCCAGCTATGGGGGAAACAAAAAAATCACCGTTATCTTCCTGGATTACTTCCAATATCAAGTTCTACCTTCTAGGAAAGACTATCTTAGTTAAGAAATACAGAAAGTCTGTCCGTCAAATATCATATGTAGTTCTCATTTAAAAAGAAAAACCAAAGCGTTAACCCAGGAAGCAATTTTGGGATAATCCACCATAAATCTCTAACAGTCACATCAGCTTTGAAAATAAGCTTTTTCTGACTCACTTCATATTCTAGAAATCTGGGAGAGGAAAGCCATAGAACAGCTACACCCTAACTAGTTAAAATTATTTTGTATCATTATTGTTTAGTCTGATTTTACAATTCTAGTAACATTTTCGTTTTATCATGAGTACATTTTAGAGGGTCAAGGCATGGATCGATAAATCATAAGTAATACATTTACACATATGTTTGCACATGAACAAGAAGAATACCATGGGCATTTATGTTGTCATGTATTATAAAGACAAAAAATAACCTAACAATGCAACTAAAATTTTCAATAGCACAAGTCATATTAATAATTTAAATAGCTGTAAATTTAATGTTAATAATAAAGTGACACTTAAATTTTCCGGCCTATTTCTCATTTAGACACTAGTATTACAACACCCTATAGAATGGAAGTCTAGAAAAAAATTATTTTAAAAATAAAGTTTAACATCAGCTACATTTGTTTTTCCTTGTAAGGTGGCAATTTTGAGAGATATTTGAATAGCTAAGTTCTCACATGCTTGTAAAATGCTTTAATTATACACATAGATACACCATTCATCTGTGATGCCATTTATTTTAGTTTCCAACAAAAGATTGGGAATTTATTTAAATTTATTAAAATTATGAAAATCATTCATCCTGTGTGTCAGGCTTAACTTAGAGTAAAAGCTCTAGACTAAACTCAGATATAAATAATGAGAAATGGAGGTGATACTCCTGCCTACTATCTAAGAAGATATATAACCTATATATTTTTATCATAAAACTATATCCTATGTATTAACACAGGTATGGTATGTAAAGAGTTCCACATTAAAAGGCAACTATTATGAATTGGAATAAAGATACAGAACTATATACCCCAAGCTGCTGTCTTAGGAAAGGCAAGGAAGGAGAAGGGATGAGGGCAAAAATAGAGGAAGGAAGCTAAAGCAAAACAGAAAAATATTTATGGAATAATTGTTGAAAAAATGTTTCAAGAATACTATGGGCAGATATGCATTCAATCTAAGAACATTACCTTGTTTTTTCCAGTTGAGCCATCAATTTTGGTTACTTTGTGGCATTCTTTCATACATGTGTGATTCTGACAATCTAAGATTCTTCCACAAACTCTTTTACAAGAGTAGGGTCCTAAGGCATGGCATGGTAGTGGACTCACCTTTCAAAATAAAGCAAATCAGCACAGCACACAACACACAAAACTTTCTGGACATACTACATGCTTCCAAAATTACTCTGCTATCATTTGAGAACAAGTTTCACAAAGGCCTACTAAGTTTGCATGAATAATAACACTGATGATCAAAATATTGCAAAGTAATGAATGCCAAGAAGCAAAATGTTCTCCTCCTAAAAAGAAAATTCAATATAATTCTGTAGTAAATACATATACACAGTCTAATTCTCAAATAAAAGCGTTGCATATTTTTTAAATTAGTAAATTCTTGTACTCTTTATAACAGTAAAATAACAATACTTTGACTTTATTATTTCTGACAACTCCAATATAGAAAAGTTACACTAGTATATAATAGTATACATTATAAGCTTTACCTAAAATTTTGCACCTGTAACTCACCTCATGTTTCCCAAGACATTCTCTGTAAGGAAAGAATAAAATAAAATGAAAACATTACAAATTATACAAAAATAATACCTAAAGAGGCTAACTCTAAGAACAGTAAAAAAAATAAACACATACGGAAATAATAAGCAATTACAGTTAAGTTACAGGATACAAAGTTAATATACAAAGGTCAACTGATTTCCTGCATAGTAGCAATGAACTGTTAGAATCTGAAATTAAAAACATTATTAGCACAACAAATGAAATACTTGGGTATGAATTTAACAAAATATATGCAAGATCTCTATGAGAAAACTACAAAATACTTATGAAAGAAATCAAAGATTTAAATAAATGAAGAGATATTTCATGTTGACAGATATGAAGGCTAAAAATTATTAAGATGTAGTTTCTTCCCAATTTGATCCAGATTCAACATAATTCCAATCAAAATCCCAGCAAGTTATTTTGTATATGTCAACAAACTGATTCTAAAGTCTATACGGAAAGATAACAGACCCAGAACAGCTAACACAATACTGAAGAAACCAAAGTCAAAAAGACTGATGCCACCCAACTTCAAGAGTTACTATAAAGCTACAGTGATCAAGACAGTGTGGTACTGATGAAAGAACAGGCAAATGGAAGAAAACAGTCCAGAAATGGAACCACACAAATCACAGTCAACTGATCTTTGACAAAAGAGCAAAGCCAATTGAATGAAGAAAGGATATGCTTTTCAATAAATAGTTGATGCTGGAACAAATGGACATCCACTTGCAAAAAAATCTAGACAGATCCTACGCCTTTCACAAAAGTTAGCTCAAAATGAATCACAGATCTAACTGTAAAATGCAAAACTATAAAACACAATCTGGGTACTCTGAATTTAAGACAACTTTTTAGATATAACATTAAAAGCACAATCCATGAAATAAAAATGAATGATAGATGTCATTAAACTAAAAATTACTGCTCTGAAAAGAACATTTAGAGAATGAAAAGCCACAAAGGATGGGTGTAGTGGCTCATGCCTATAATCCCAACACTAGGAGGCTGAGACAAGAGGATCATCTGAGCACAGGAATTTCAAGACCGGCCTGGGCAACATAATGAATCTCTACAAATATAAAAATTTTAAAAATTAGCTGGACACGATCGTGCAAGCCTGAAGTCCCAGCTACTTGGAGGTTGGAGGTAGGGCTGAGGTTGGAGGATCATTTGAGCCCAGAAGGTTGAGGCTGCAGTGAGCTATGATGAAGCCACTGAACTCCTACTCCAAAGTTGGAAAAGCCTGGGTGACAGAGCTGAGATCCTGACTCAAAAACAACAACAACAAAAGATAAACCACAACTGGCAAAAAATACTTGAAAAACTCACAGCTGGTAAAGGACTTGTCTCCAAAATATACTCAATAAGAAAACAAATAATGCAATATAAAAATGGGCAAAAAGGAACAGGAAGTTAAACATTGTATGTTCTCACTCACGTAGAAGCTAAAAAGTTTATCTCGTAGAAATAAAAAGCATAATAGTTACAGGGTGGAAAAGGTAGAGGGAAGGGGAGATAAGAGAGATTTGTTAAAGGACAAAATTACAGCTAGATAGGAAGAACAAGTTCTGGTGTTGTATAGTTATCCTACAGTGCTATAAAACTATTGTTATCTATTGTCAACTATAGTTTCTACTGTTAACTATCGATAACAATAGTTACCTATAACAATAGATATCTACAGATATCTATAACTATAGTTACAGAAAAGAGGATGCTGAATGTTCCCAAAACAAATAATAAATGCCTGATATGATGGATATGCTAATTGCCCTGATCCGATCACTATATATCACATTGTATATACTGAAACAGCATGTTTCTTATAAATATGTACAATTATTATGCATCAATTAAAAATAGAATGACTAAAATCCAAAACACTGACAATATCATATGTTGGTGAGAATGTAGAGAAACAAAAATTCTCACTCATTGTCATGAGAATACAAAATGATTCAGACCCTTTGGCAAACAGTTTGACGGCTTCTTACAAAGCTAATCAAAGTCTTACCATGTGACCCAGCAATTACACTCCTAAGTATTTACCCAAATGAGGTGAAAGCTTATGCCTACACAAAAATCTGCACATAAATGTTTATAGCAGCTTTATTCTTAATTGCCAAACTTGGAAGCAACCAAAATGTCCCTGTATGGCAAATAGGTAAACAAACTATGGTACCTTTATACAATGGATTATTATTAAATGATAAAGGGAAATGAGCTATCAATCCATGAGAAGACACAGAGTAACCATAAAACCATATTGCTAAGTGAAGATGCCAGTCTGAAAATGCTGCACACCATAAAATTCCAACTATACGACATTCTGGAAAAGGCAAAACTACAGAGACAGTAAAAAGATATGTGGTTGCTAGGAATTTGAGATGGGGAGGGGAGAAGAAGGTTGAACAGGTGTAGCACAGGGCATTTTTAGGGCAGTGAAACTATTCTGTATGAAATCATAATAGTAAGTACATGACACTATGCATTTGTCAAAACCTACAGAACCATACAACACAGAAAGTAAACTCTAATGTAATCTATGGACTTTAGCTAATAATAATATACCAATATTGGTTCCTCAACAGTAAAAAATGTATCACTAATGAAAGTTGGTAATGGAGAAAACTATGTGTGGTATGGGGACATGCATAGGAACTCTCTATATTTTCTGTGCAATTTTCTCTGTAAACCTGAACATTTTATTAAAAAATAAAGTCTATTTAAGAAAATAAACATCATTTCCCTTTCCAGGGACTGGTTTAAAAATGGTCTAATGAAATGTGAAAAGAGTTATCCTGTGGAGCTTTGGAGAAGTTTCCTTATCCTTAAAAGAAAAAAAGAAAAGGTGATGATGATGACAGACAGAAGGCATATACATTTCAATTTCTCCCTTTGGAAATTTTCATGTCTTGATTGCGAAGTTAACAGAGAGGCAAACAGCCTGAGGTCAAAGATGACACACTAAGGAAAACAAAATGGAAAGACAAGCTGAGCTTTTGATGATGTGTAATTGAATGAACCAAATTAACCAACTATAGAGCTATTCTGTTTCCAGTCTAATTTTGTGAGGCATAAATATTACTGTGCTTTTTATTTAGGTTTTCATTTAGGTTTTACAGTTTCTACTGTACAAATCTTACATTCCTTTTATTGAATTTCTTAAACAACATGTTCTTTTCACGCTATATAAGTAGAATTGTTTTCTTAATTTCATTTACAGATTGTTTGCTTCCAGTGTACAGAAGTACTACTGGCTTTGTATACTGATGTTTCTTGCAAAAGTAATGAACTCATTAAGTAACTGTAACAGTATTTTTGAGGACTCCTTAAAACTTTTGACACAAGATCTTGTCACCTGATTTATCTTTCACAATGACATATTATGTGAACTGTGGGTTTTTCACAGATGCCCTTTATCAGGTTGAGGAAATTATCTTTTCTTCCACACCTGAGTGTTTTTATCAAGAAAGTGTGTCAGATTCTGCCAAATGCTGCGCTACATCTACCAGCTGCCCTTTACTGATAAGAATTACACCAATTGGATGAGCACAGTGGCTTATGCCTATAATCCTAGCACTTTGGGAGGCCAAGCCAGGAGGATTGCTGGAGGCCAGGTATTTGAGATCAGCTTGGGCAAAATAGCAAAACCTCATTTCTATAAAAATTTTAAAAAACATCAGTCAGACATGATGGCACATGCTTTTAGCCCAGTTACTCAGTAGGCTGAGGCAGGAGAATCCCTTGAGCCCAGGAGTTTGAAGCTGCAGTGAGCTAGAAATACACCACTGTACTCCAGCCTGGGCGAGAGTGAGACCCAGGTATTACACTGATTGGTTTTCTTATGTTGAATCAACCTTATATTTCTGGGATAAATCCATTTGGTTACAGTGTATAATCTTTTTACATGGTACTGGATTCAATTTGTTATTATTCTGTGAAGAATTTTTGCATCTATATTCACATGTGATATTGGTCTGTAGTTTTCTTGTAATGTCTTTCTCTGGTTTTAGTATTAGGGAAATACCAGGCTTGTTGAATAAGGTGGGAAGTGACCTTCCTTAAGTGAAAGGATTGATGTAAATTCTTCTTTATACTTTGGTAGAATTCACAAGTGAACTCATCTGGTCCTGGGTTTTTCTTTGTGATAAATAATTACTAATTCAATCTCTTTAGTAGATTTTTCTGTTTCAATCTCTTCAGATTTTCTGTTTCTTCTTGAGTCAATTTCAGTAGTTTGCTGCTAAGCATTTGTTCACGCAATCAGTAACCAACAGAGTTGTAGGGGCTATACTAACATCAGACAAAATAGACTTTAAGTTAAACAAAAATTGTTGCTACATACAAAGGACATTTTACAATGATAAGGACCTCTGAAAATTCTCTCCTTACTGACATTGTTGTAACTATCATGAACCTCGTTATTTTATAAATAAACTGAGAAGGTATACAACTTATTAATAGGAGAAGTTGGTGGGAAGCTCAACCCTCAACTCAAGAGCTTTTACTCTAAGAGACAATCTGTTTTAGTACACACACCCCTTCCAGCAACACTTTCCAGTCAAATGAGAAAGAAAGACCATTGTAATCTAATATCATTTTTCAAACCTCTAGTAAACATGACTTAGTAATTCCAGGCAGTTTTTCTACTGTCAGATAGTATTTTATCCAAAGTAAGATTTCAAGCAAATTAACTGAATTAAATAATCTTAATATAAAACAGACTAAGTAAGGGCCAGACACAGTGGCTCATGCCTGTAATCTCAACAATACGGGTGGATCACTTAAGGCCAAGAGTTTGAGACCAGCCTGGGCAACATGGAGAAACCCCATCTTTACTAAAACTACGGAAATTAGCCGGGTGTGGTGGCGCATACCTATAGTCTCAGCTACTCGGGAGGCTGAGGCAGGAGAATAACTTGAACCCGGAAGAAGGTTGCAGTGAGCCAACATTGCACCACTGCACTCAGCCTGGGTAACAGAGAGGGAATTCATCACAAAAANAAAAAAAAAAAAAAAAAAAAAAAAAAGCAGACTAAGGATTTCAAAGGTAATTAAGTACTGTATAACTGGACAATAGTTTAGTGCCTATGAATTATAATATCAATGTCTCTTCTATTTCTCTCAAAGGAAAAATTTTAGGCCACTAATAATTCTAACATAGTAAGAGATATTAGCAATAACTTGGTTCCTCATGATTATAATTTAAGTCCTCAGTAAAAGAGTTAGTCTCAAATAACTGAATACCTACATGAAAAACCTCTGTGCTAACTTTACAACCCTCATTGATTGGTTAAATCTACAGACTAAAATTTCCCTATTTGTGCATATATCTCCAAACAACACTTTGCTTCCCAACTTGACTATGTGACCAATATACAAAAATATACATGCTATTTCAACTGGGAGGAATGTTGTGGAAATGATAGCTTTTAGAAGTAAAAAACAAACAAAACCAAAAATCCTCTCTTTAAAAGACCAATACACAAGAAATACCGATGTTTAATTTGGCATCTTAGCTGTAGACAACAGCCCCTTTTCCAATTTTATGTTGCTTCTAAGCATTCTGTGCTTCTTTTTTCCCTATACTCCATAATTTCTGCTGGAAGTATAAAAAATTCCAGGATTCCCTGTTACTACAGGTTCAGCTCCCTACAGCTCAGTTCCAGTTATTCACCAGCCCATCCGGGAAACTGCTTCCTTTCATTTCCAAGTCTTCCTTTAAATATTCCTCAAGTTTGCCTTATCTAAAACCTGGCTTTCTTCTGTCTTCAGGGAGCTTACACTCTAGTATGGGAATCATCAGGAAAACAAATGATGTTTCCTGAATTTGTTTTTATAACTGCATGTATAAGTTGCTATGGAAAGCTAAGAAGGGCATCAAGCTCTAACTAGGGGTAAAAACTCAAAAAAAGATACCTATAGGAGGTTTATAAGCAAGTATAACAAATATGTTTGGAAAAGAATGAAGCTTAAGACAGACTAGTTTACAGGCTAGGCTTGACATAATAATGAACTGAACTAAGAAAAAAGGGAGGTTGACTTCAGATATCCTTCAACCTATGTCAAAAGTTGTTTGTTTATTTGTTTTTTTTAATTGAAATTCTAATACTTACACAGGAATAGGAACTTGACATGGAGGACACGGTAATGCAGTCTGAATAAATGCTGGCTCTGAAGGCTGTTCCCAAGGGCCTGTAGGCTGGTGCTACAAATAAAATACATAATAATATTAAGTCAGAGAAATTAAATCATATGGCCATTTTAAGAATCTACGAAAATAGTTCCATGTATCCTCTGCTCAAGCAGGTTGAAATTTTTTCAAATTGTGCTTACTGAAATACATCATTTCATCTGTATTAAATGAGATTATTCCCCTCCACACACATTTGATATTAATAACTGAGACAGAATCCAGTTTATCAATGGTAGAACACAGGCAGTGCAGCCTCTTTCACCTCCAATAAGAAAATGAGAAAAAGATGTAAACTCCAACATCTACCAATTGAACATAATCTCTATTATTTTACTCACAGTTGCTCCTCAGCACCTAAAAAAATGCTTGATACTTAGTAAGGGCTCAATAAACATTCATGAGGCCGGGCACAGATGCCTCATGCCTATAATCCCAGCACTCTGGGAGGCGGAGGCAGGCAGATCATTTGAGGTCAGGAATTCAAGGCCAGCCTGACCAACATGATGAAACCCCATCTCTACTAAAAATACAAAAATTAGCCAGCCACAGTAGTGGACACCTGTAATCCCAGCTACTCAGGAGGCTGAGGCATTAGAATCACTTGAACCTGGGAGGTGGAGGTTGCAGTGACCAAGATCACACCACTGCACTCCAGCCTGGGCAACAGAGTGAGACTCCAACTCAAAAAATAAATAAATATTCATGAATATTTATTTTAAATACTATTAAATAAAATATTAAAAAGTGAACAAATCTTTAAGATAAGGTTATAGAAGATATCTATAACCCTAAACCACAATATATGAAGGAGGACTGCCAAATTCATCTATATCATGATCACAATGTAACTAACACTGTATTTGCAAACATTGTTTATTGGTTTCTCTTCTTTTCTATACTGAGAGTTGCCTAAAACAAGAAAATCAAGTCTTGATTACCTTGCACCCTACTCCATGCACAGTGCTTCCCAGTAAGTGCTTGGTCATTGCTCGTTGAGAGACTAAGTAAAAGCAAGAAGTACAATCCATAGCAATGCACTATTTCTTTAATAGCATTATTCCCTTACCCTGCCAGTCTGCTTTATTAATGCTTGATCATGACATGGAGCAGGACACAAGTGACCACATTTCTCCAAAACTTTTTGGCAAGGTTGATGACATGGTGGACAAGAGCCAAAGTGACAGCGATGTTTCTCTTGACTTATATGATGACAAGTTGGTGGTCGACTAAATCATAAAGTACAATTTTCAAAAATTACTTTTGATATTGAACAATTACATCTAAAGGACAATTATCTATTTACATTATCGTCTGATTCCATATTGAACAAGTATACTGTGAATATTAATATTTTAAAACACTAAAGCAAAATTAAATTAAAAGTCGATATGAATTTAAATTTGTACAACAACAGATGGAAGCTTGTGCAAAGCTTCAAACTCACCTGCATTGCTCCTTACACTTGGGTGGTCTTGTGGTCCTTTCTCGGCCACAAGGCACTGTTACCTTAGTATTGCCACAATTACACTTCACATCTACGGTTTCTGGACAGGGATAGCAACTGCCTGAAAAAAAAGTCTGATAATTAAAAAGTTTCCTTAAATACCCAAATGCCTATCACACATAAAGTTAGTATATTCACACAAGGAGAAACTCTACAGCAAAAAATGAAGAAAACTACAACAACATGAATGAATCTTACCACAAAATATTGAGCCAGGCACAAAGAGTACATAGTACATGATTCTATTTATATAAAGTGAACAAGAAAAACTAATTTCTACGGCTCAAAATCAAAGTGATGGTTATGAAGGACGCAAGACGGGTGTTGAAAATTCTGGTAACGTTCTGTTTAATGATGTAAGTTTTGGTTACTGGCTATGTTCAATTTGTAAAAATTCAACAAGCTGTGTACTTTTGATCTGTAACACTTTTCTCTCTTTTATGGAGGGAGAGCGGGGGACAGGGTCTCACCCTGTTGCTCAAGCTGAGTGCTGTGGCACAATCATGGCTCACTGTGCAGCTTCAACTTTCTGGGCTCAAGCAGTTCTCGCACCTCAGCCTCCCAAGTAGCTGGGACTAACAGACACGCACCACCATGCCCAGCTAGTTTTTGATTATTTGTAGAGGTGGGGGGGATCTCACTATGTTTCCCAGGCTGGAACTCTTGGACTCAAGCAATCTTCCCACCTCAGCCTCCCAAATGCTGGGATGACAAGTGTGAGCCACTGCAACTGGCCCCTGATTCATAATACTTTTCTCTCTGTACACTGGTACCTCAATAAAGTTTTAAACATTTCTCTAAAATTTGCTAAAACTTCTGTTCTAAATAACAAACTGAACACATTACTCATTCAAAACTAAAACAAGCAAAAATGGATTTAAGTCTTTGGAAAATCTAACATTAGCAATAATATCTTTGGCCTATTTTCAAACATCTATCAAAGTACACAATTTTTAGACAAATTCTCAATAACTTTTCTTTCATTACCTGATTTTGGTTAGTAGCAAGGAATTTTCCACTATTTGTACTTTGTGAAAGACTAAGAACTAAGCCACCACTTTAGGCTATAATCCCAAACATATCTCTTTGAAACATAAAAAAAGAGTTATTTTTGTTTTAGCTTTCTACACCGTTTTGTTATGGATGGCAGAAATATAAAAAAACAAAATCAAAGAAATCTTTAAAGCAAGCTATAAAGTTCCCTCCAAGACGTTCTGTCATCATCTTAAGGGATTCCTTCCCGCTCTAGTTTTCCCAGTAAGAAATTCTATCAGAAACGAAATAATGAGGGAATAAGAGTTTTCAATAAAGAAATGAATATTTTATAGAGACTACTGCCTAGGTGTCAGGACCAAGCAAAACATGGACCAGGAGTTAACCTGATCAAAAAAGATTAATAATGGACAATACCCTGGCTTACATGCCTCTAGAAGTTCAAAATAGTTCCCTAAAACAAATACAAATTAAGAATTATAATTCAAATAATGAGCATAGAAAAAGAGAAAATTAGTGGTAAAAGCATCATAGGGTCAAACATAACATTTATTATACAGAACACCAAATGTGTTTTGACAAATATATTACTGATGTTAATACAAGTTATCCTGATGCACATGATCATGTTTTATTCTGATTTTACCTAAAGAATGACATGTTGTGGTTTTTTTTTTTTTTTTTTTTTTGGCGGGGTTTTTTTTTTTTTTTCTTGGTTTGTTTGCGTTGGCGCAATCTCGGCTCACCGCAACCTCCGCCTCCTGGGTTCAGGCAATTCTCCTGCCTCAGCCTCCTGAGTAGCTGGGATTACAGGCACGCGCCACCATGCCCAGCTGATTTTTTGTATTTTTAGTAGTGACGGGGTTTCACCATGTTGACCAGGATGGTCTCGATCTCCTGACCTCGTGATCCACCCGCCTCAGCCTCCCAAAGTGCTGGGATTACAGGCGTGAGCCACCGCGCCCGGCCAACATGTTGTATTTTTAAAGTTAATAGTGATATTTAAGTCTGTTCTCATTCAGCATATATCAATTTCTACACTTAATAATTTTTTGTTCATCTTCAGAAGAGGAACTTATCAAATATAACCTTTTTGCTATTCTAAACTACAGTATCACTTTTTCAAAAATTAAATCTTGAAAATAGGGATAATTTCTCTAAACAGTCTCAATATTGACCAACAGAATTTATTATAGATATCTATACAGCATAACAGATTTTAATTATGACTTTCAAAATAAAAAAGCCGTATACAGGCCAGGGACAGTGGCTCACACCTGTAATCCCAGCACTTTGGGAGGCCAAGGCAGGCAGATCAAGAGGTCAAGAGATCGATCCTGGCCAACATGGTAAAACCCCAGCTCTATGAAAAACACAAAAATTAACTGGGTGTGGTGGTGCACGCCTGTAGTCCCAGCTACTTGGGAGGCTGAGGCAGGAAAATCGCTTGAAACTGGGAGGCAGAGGTTTCAGTGAGCCGAGATTGGGCCCCAGCATTCCAACATGGCAACAAAGTGAGACTCTGTCACAAAAAAGAGCAGTATACAGAGACTATAACTATACTGACCAATACCACTTAATAGGCAAAATAGGCATGATTCGGGTAGTTCTAAAACTATAAACACATCCTGAACTTAAAAAAACTGTAAATCAAATTTTCATATATCCACAACACGAATATACAGTATCTTCCCCCCATAAATTACTATATAATTCTGATTATGAAGGAGTCTAGAATGATGAAAAACTGGTATGAAATTATGATTCTACATTCTTACATAACTGTAAATGAAACAAATGTTGAGAGTTGCACAATAGTATCTTCCACATACTTTCCAACAGGGAAAATTTTGTTCTGACTAATAAGCTTTTTTAAGGATTAATAAGAATCTTAAAAAAAAAAAAACTCTACCAAAAAAATATCAAACCTGAATCTGATCAAACCTCTAGATCCAATTAACAGGTTATAGAAACTACAGATGACAGAGGAATATGTTGAATAATACCACAGAGAGACACTCTGCAAAACACAGACTCTGAGAAACTAAATAAAGCAACCTAGTTTCTTCAACAAATTAAGTCACAAGGGGGAAAAAGGACACAGAGGATGGAAATTATAAATTAAAAGACTTTAGAGACATAACCAATTACAATACAGGTATTGATCGACTTACGACCTATGCAACTTACGACCATTTGACTTTACGACCACAATCGCTAGCCACGACTGCTCCACGTCTGGCAGCGCAAACGTTGCCCAGCTGGGCGTATGACAGTGTGGACCAGCTTCCGGCAGCACTACCATCTCCGTGTACACCATTTCAACTGTACATATAGCCTACTCAACTTACAGCCAAATCATGTTACGACCGGTCCGTGGTCCCGACCGTGGTCATAAGTCAAGCACTAGCTGTATGTCAATTTTAAATTATAAATTAAAAGATTTTAGAGACATAACCAATTACGATATGTCAAATTTATTAGGTTTTTGACTCTATAAACTGAAGTAAAAAATGAAATTACTTATAAGACAACAAGAAATTTGAACACCAGATATTTGCTGATATGAAGAAATATGTTAGTTATGTTTAGGTTAAGAATCCATCTTTTAGAGATGAATACTGAAATATTTATGGGCTTTGCTTCACAATAAGAGAGAGGGAAATGCTTCCAACACTTCTCTACTAAGTATGATATATGCTCTCACCTTTTGGCAGATACTCTTTATCAGGTTAAGGATATGTCTATTTCCAATTAAACTATTATCATATATAGATGTTGGATTTTATCAACCATTTTTTAGACATTTATCAAGGCGGTCTCATTTCTCCTTTGATCTTGTAATGTGGTAAATTACATAATATTAGATTTAGTACTGTCAAACCAGTTATACCACAGAGATGTAATTTGCAAAAATCTGCAAAAACTCAATGGGTCAGTGATGTAATGACTATAACAGAAAATAAAATCTTTCTAGTGTTGGTGAGAACATAGCTAAAAAACTATTTCTAAACTTCAATGACAAATCAAAGAACACCTATAGAAAATGTCTATAGGATAAATAGAATCTGACACTTTTCCTAATGTGGAAGGAATCTAGTATAATGGAAATATCATAAAGATTGGGTTCACATCCTGACTCTGCAACTAGTTCTATTAACCTTGGGCCAATAGTCTCCTGGCCTGTTCCACATAAAAAATAATAGTAGTTCCATACATGCTGCAAGATTTCTGAAAGGACTGAGAGGTCAACTAAGGAACAATTCAGTAGTTTGTTCTAGGTATTAAACTACCAAGTGGCAGAGTCTAGCCTTAAACCTAGGATTTCTTACTCTAAGTCCATGATCTTTCCAATACTCTACACCATATCTCAGTAGATTCCATTTCATATAAACATAATCCAAATAAATGAAGTTAACTCTGTTTTTAATGTCTACCAATAACTTAGAACATAATTCTCAAAGTGTAGTCCAGGAACCCTAATGATTCTTGAGACCCTTTCAGGTCTGCGAGGTCTCACATGCATACAGTTTTCCAGAAGCTAGTGACAAGTGATATCACAGCAGATTTAATGCAGAAGCATGTATGTGAATCCAGGTATTTTCTGTTAAGCTAGACATTAAAGACATTTGTAAGAATGTAAATTTTTCTACTTTTCTCAGAAAATAGTTATTTTTCATAAAAATATATTACTTGTGTTAAGACATAATGGGTTTATTATTGCTATTTTTTTAAATATTACATTTTATTTTAATTTCAAATATAATCAATGTCAATGAATAAAACTGACATTAACAAAAGCCCTTTGGGGACAAAAAGAGTGTAAAGGGGTCATGAGATCAAAATGTTTAAACATCGCCAGCTTAGGATATATCTAATCCTTTGCTAGATTTAACTCCATATAAGTATATAAAATTCAGAATAAAACTCAAAACTCTATGAACACCTTAATTAAAAAACTGTGTGGGGAAGGTTAGAAAGTAGAAAACAGTATGGTGTTATAGAAAGGACAATACTTTTATATACAGAAATCCTGGGTTCAAATGTACTAGACATTTCACTTAGTAAGTCACTGAATCCTCTTAAGCGTCAACCTCTTTGTCCATAAAATAGGGACACTGGCAAACTACCTTACCTCCTTCTCAAGGTTAAGAGGGTCAAGTAAATGAAAAAAAAAAAAAAAACCACAATGTCAATACAAACACAAAATCATAACTATTGTTAAAGTTTACCTCTGTGGCAGACAGATGGACACTTATGGTTTCTACATCCTAAAGTCCGTCCACAGTTTTGATCACAAGGTGGACAGTTTCCAGGGCAACACTGAAGAGAAAGCAATATATAAAGAACAGGTAATTCAAAAACCCATGAATAATGGGCATGTCATGACTAGTCACAGAACTTATGGAAAGCAAAAGATATACTTTTCACTAAAAGAATGAAAGTATTCAAGAGTATCAACATTCTTCTGGTAAATAAATATACTTCACTAAGAACTTACAATGACCTAATTTAACAAATCAAGCTAAATTTTCTTAATTATTAATGACTCAATTATTCTATGACTCAGACATTTCCATCAGATAATTTCATTCCTTTATCTATGCAGAGACTAATAACATTAGCCAAATGAATGTCAACTCAGGAAAACAATTAGTCTGGCTATTTAAAAAAAAATTTTTTTTTTTTTGAGACAGAGTCTCACTCTGTTGCCAGGCTCCAGGCTGGAGTGCAGTGGCGCAATCTCGGCTCACTGCAACCTCCGCCTCCTGGGTTCAAGCAATTCTCCTGCCTCAGCTTCCCAAGTAGCTGGGACTATAGGCACGCGCCACCATGCCCAGCTAATTTTTTGTATTTTTAGTAGAGACGGGGTTTCACCATGTTGGCCAGGATGGTCTTGATCTCTTGACCTCGTGATCCGCCTGCCTTGGCCTCCCAAAGTAAAATTTAATTAGAACCAATTCAATGTACAGATTCACTTGGCAGTTATTTATTTTCTTTCTTTCTTTTTTTTTTCTTGAGACAGGATCTGGCTCTGTTGTCCAGGTTATAGTGCAATGGTACAATTTTGACTGACTGTAACCTCCACCTCCCAGGCTCAAGCCATGCTCCCACCTCAGCCTCCTGAGTACCTAATGCTACATGCACTACCCACCACATCCAAGTAGTTTCTGTATTTTTGGTAGAGATGGAGTTTTGCCATGTTGCCTAGGCTGGTCTCAAACGTCTGAGCTCAAGCGATCTGCCTGTCTTGGCCTCCCAAAGTGCTGGGATTAAAGGCATGAGCCACTGTTCCTGGCCTCATTTGGCAGTTATTTTCAAACCACAGAATCAGAGACTAAAGAAGAGAAGCAGAGATAGGCTACTTGCATCCAGCTTTCTTTGTCACTTCCCTGATTTCACGGACACTTCCCTGTCTGTGAAAATATAGCTAGCTATGACCTGTCCTAATTTTTCAATCATGGACACCAGGCAACTACTATAAGTCTATACTTCCATCTTAACTCTTTCCTTGACTTCTTACATGCCTAACTTTGGAAAGGAAATACAGACTACAACTGTCTTAAAGAAACGTATGGTTGTATATAAGAGAAAGTTTCAGTACATAAAAATACCTCAAAACAAAATATACATTATTTAAAAAGCAATTAACAGTCAATACAGCTTATTCTAAAAAATTAACCAGGCACAGTGGTGTGCACCTGTAGTCCCAACTATTCGGGGAGGCTGAGGAAGGAGAATCGCTTGAACCTGGGAGGTGAAGGTTGCAGTGAGCAGAGATCGCGTGACCGCACTCCAGCCTGAGCTAGAGTGAAACTCCAAAAAAAAAAAAAAAAAAAAAAAAAAGTCAATATACTTTAATCAATTAGACAAATGTTCATTGAGTAATACTATGTTCCTATCACTTTGCCAGTGCCAGTGGGGGGAAAGGTTATGTGGTCCATGACTTGAATAAGCCAACAGACACTTCTGTTTCAATGTATGATGTAGTAACAATAACCAGATTTACAGTCCTGTCTTAAACAACTAGAAAACCAGACAAAAGATATGAAGCTACAGTTGTCAGACATCAGATAATTAGGCAGCACAGACGACAATTCCTAACAGAAGGGAAACAAACAAGGCAAGCCCTGCAATGCCATCAGCTTAGACATGGAGTCTTCTGGCTATAGCATGAGGAAGATCGTAAGCAGAATCTGGCTATCTCACAAAGTTGAGTAGACAAAATTGATAGTTCAGAGAGGCCACTGTGGCTAGAATTTGTGGAGAGAAGGCAGCAGTACAGAAAAAGCTCTGGGGAACTCCGGAAAGAACTCCCTGGGTCTTTGGCTGAGTACTTGTCTGTGTGTGTGAGAGAGGAAACAACCCAAAAGCTGAGAAAGAACCACTGGAAATAGAAGGTAGAATAATTTCAAGAGATTGTACAAGGTGATGAAAAAGTCCGTGTTCATTACAGGCAGAGTAGAAGGACCTCCTAATACATGGGCATCAAGTAGAGTACTTAGAAGTTATTGCGTCAGTATTGGGGCCAAAGTAGCCCTAAACAAAAGAGTATTCTGGTCATACCTAAAAATATCAAGCCTCTAAAAGAACTAACAGGTTTTTAGTAATTTAACTTTGTCCCAGAATAAGGCTTAAAAATGTTTAAAGAAATACAAATAAACAAAAAGAACCAGCACCCAAAAATGTAAAGTTCACATTTAGAAACAATCAAATATTATCCAGCAGACAAAGAAGCAGAAAACATAACCCCCAAAAAGTAGAAAAATCAATAAACAGAAACAGACTCAGAAATAAGAGATGACAGAATAAGTACACAAGAACATTAAAACAGACATTATAAATACAGCCTATCTCACATTCAAGTAGATAGAGGAAGCATGAACATGCTAAGGAGAAGCATGAACATGCTAAGAAGAAACATGGAAGATATAAAAAAGACCCAAATCCAACTTCTAGAGATGAAACAAACTACTGAAAACTGGTGATAAAGACTGAGATCTTAATAACCAGCCAGAAAAAAAGAGACACAATCAGTACAGAGGAACAAATATAACAATCATAGAATACTACTCAGTGGAAAAAATGCAAGCTAAAAGATAGTAGAGCAATACCTTTTAAGTATGAGGGTAAAAACCGCCAAAGTAGAATTCTAAAGTAAAAATATTTTTCACAAAAACTAAAGAAAGGTATATTCAGACATACAAAGTTGAAAGAATTCATGACCAGTGCTATTAGAAATATTAAAGGAAATCCTTCAGAATAGAAAGAAAATGAAATGTGATAGAAAACTGAATCTATACAAAAAGATGAAAAGCACTTAAAATAAGTATGATGATAAACATCAAAGATTATCTTTTTCTTATTTTTTCAAGCTCTTTAAAAGATAACTGATTATTTAAAGCAAAAGTAAAGTCAATGTATTTGGGGCTTATAAAATACACAAATATAAAATGTATGAAAATCATACATTTCAGTGATCAGAAATAGTAATCAGAAACAGCTGGAGAATCAAGCTGAGAGGACAATGCACAGGACAAGAAACTCTCCTCATTTAAAAAAATTGGTACAATTCCCACTAATACAAAAATTACCTAGATTAAGGTTAATCTAGAATATTTATTAATATATTGCATGAAAACCAAAGCAAATGCCTGAACATTTTTTGAGAAACAATTCAAGACAGCACTTATTGAGAGCCCAAAATGGAAAAATTCAACAAAGTCTTTATATCAGGGATTTCCAAGCTTAAAACACAAACCTTTCTTCTACATTGATGCTTCTGACAGTCACGCATCTTAACACATTTAGTTTCACACAGATAAGGTTTATGACAAGGCATTCGTTTTGTATGCTTTCCACAGCGACAGTGCTTTTCCACTTCCTAGAAGAATAAAAGAAATGCTATTAAAATTGATTTTTGTTCGTATTTTTCCTCTTATTGCAACTTCTACAATTATTAAAATATGAAGAACAAAAATTTTAACACTAAATTTGTGTAACAAACTTCCAAACACCAATTTGAATTTCCTAAAACATTTGCTTTTATCTTACTTTGTTCCAGAAAGGACTGCATATAAATTTGTTATTAAATTTAGTAGAAAATTGATATTAAATAGTTAAACACACACACACACACACATAATAAAACTACTTACATTTCGTTACAACCATAACATCTGCACCACTTGTCTCAGTAAAGCCAAAAAAAACTGGAGTATCTAGTAAGCTAACTTGCTGACTTGGTACTCTGGTCAAAACCAAAATGACACATACAACTTTAAAGTCTCAAGTATAGGCCTCTACAGAAGTCTTGAACACCCAAAGTCATCCGTGAGGACTGGTATTAACTTCTTATGAACTCCAGTTAATGTTGATATTTTGACCTACTCTCCTTATAATGAATGAATGTTCTGAATGGCATCTAAACTGAGGAATCCTTTCCAGAAGGTTTTCAATTTACATTGCCAAGATTCATCAGAGGAATCATTATCTATGGCAGCTATGGCCTTATAAAATGTATTTTGTAAAAAATAGAACTTGAAAGTCAAAATTATCCCTTGATCCATGGGCTGCAGAATGGATATTGTGTTAGCAAACATGGTATAAAACAGCATTAATTTCTTTGTACAGCTCAATCAGAGATACTGGGTGATAAGGTGCATTGTCAATAAGCAGTAATATTTTGAAAAGGGTATTTTCCAATCGGTCAATCTCAAGAGTGGACTTAAAACATTCAGTAAACCATGCTGTAAAGATGTGCTGTCAACAGATAAGCTGTCATCTAGGCTTTGTTGTTCCATTTACATAGGCAGACTAGATTTAGCAAAATTCATAAGATCTCCTAGGAATTTTGAAATGGTAAATGAGCACTGCTTCAATTTAAAGTCACCAGCTACATTAGCCCTTAAGAAGAAAGTCAGCCTATATTCTTTGATGCTTTGAAGCTTTAAAAGTCCTAGATGGTATCTTGTTCTAGTAGAAGACTATTTCATCTCAGTTGAAAAATCTTTTGTTTAATGTAGCCACCTTCATCAATTACCTTAGCTAGATCATCTGGATAACCTGCTACAATTTCTACGTTAACACTTGCTGTTTCACCCTGCACTTTTGTATTAGGAAGAGGGCTTCTTTCCTTCATGAACCAACCACTGCTAGTTTCAAACTTTTCTTCTGCAGCTTCCTCACCTCTCTCAGTCTTCACAGAATTGAAATTAGGGCCTTGCTTTGGAGTAGGCTTTGGCTTAAGGTAATATTATAGTTACTTTGATCTTCTATGCAGATCTCTAAAACTTCCTCCTATAATAATAAGGCTGTTTCACTTTCTTCCTGTATTCACTGGAGTAGCAATTTAATTTCCTTTAAGAACTTTTCCCTTGCAATCACAACATGGCTATTTGATGCAAGAGGACTTTCAGCCTATTTCAGCTTTCAACTTGCCTTCCTCACTAGCTTAATCATCTCTAGCTTTTGATTTAAATGAGAAATCTGCGACTCTTCCTTTCACTTGAACATTGATGAAAGCCATTGTAGGGTTATTTATTGGCCTAATTTAAATATTGTTGTCTCTCAGGGACTAGGAAGGTCCAAGGAGAGGGAAAGAGGGAGGGGAATGACTGGTCAGTAGAGCAGTCAGAACACACATAACATTTAACCATTAACTTCACTGTCTAATATGAGCATGGTTTGTGGCACCCCCCAATCAATCACAATGGTAACATCAAAGATCACTGATCACAGGTTATCATAACAGATATAATGATAACGAAAAAGTCTGAAATAGTGCAAGAATTACCAAATATGACACAGAGACATGAGCATGTGCTGTTGGGAAAATGAAGCTGAAAGACCTGTTTTACAAAGGCTTATCATAAACCTTTGATTCATAAGAAAATGCAGTATTGGCAAAGCACAATAAAGTGAAATGCAATAAAATGTGGTATGCCTGTACTCTCCTGCTTCTTACCCGAATATTAGGTCACTAAGCTCATATAGATCATGATACAGATGTATATGAAAATAAGTAACAGGAAACAACCACAGGACAATCTCATTTGATATATTATGATAGGTAGCTCTTAAAAGTAATTATTACAGTAGATGACTAACTTGTCTACATGTTTCACAGGGACCTCGGTGACAACGCTGTGAACATCTATGGATTCCACATTCAAGAACTTTATCACAACTGTCTCCACAAGTTGGTACATCTTCCGTACAAGGCAAAGAAAACTCTAAAAACAGATAAAAAGTCAATATTAATAAGATACATTATTATTTAATATCAACAAAATGCCATGTTCTGCAGGTTCCCTGAGGGATGATAGCCCTTTCAGACTATGAATTTTTGTAACCACATAATCATTGGGAAAAATTAACTTTAATGAAAATAATTCCTAATATTTGTGGCATTTATAGTTTTTAAAAAGAAATTTGGCACAAGTTAACATCCTCAAGAAACACATTTTTATAGGCCACCTACTTCAGAAATAGTATCTAAAGAAATGAGTAAAGACTACACAAACCATGCATGAGGAATTTTGCTAATGTACAAATTTATTTAAAAAAACTTGCCCTTAACTACCCCACAAAGACAAAAAGAAAGATGTAGGCTTTAAAACGTTATAAAACTCAGGCCAGGTGCAGTGGCTCACTTTTAAAATCCCAGCATTTTGGGAGGCCGAGGCAGGAGGATTACTTGAAGCCAGGAGTTTGAGGCCAGTCTGCGTAACATAGGGAAATCCCATCTCTACAAAAAAAAATTTTTAATGAGCCAGGCATGGTGGCAGGTGCCTGTATTCCCAGCTACTGAGAAGGCTGAGGCAGGAGGATCACTTGAGCCCAGGGGTCTGAGGCTGCAGTGAGCTAGAATTGCACCACTGCACTCCAGCCTGGGTGACAGGATGAAAACATGTCTCTTAAAAAACAGTAACAACAACAACAAAATTATAGAACTCACCTATAACATAAAGATATCATGACAAATATTAGAAGTAGTCTTCTTACACATATGATGCTGTTATTTGTGGAGAGTCAAAGCAGCTGACTCAAACTGCTATCCTACTATGCCTTTATCTCAAAGCAGCCTAAAATAAACTCACCTACAACCTATTACATAATAATGACAACAGTAGAGCCTTCCCTATTAACAAACCCTACTAGAGTGGTACATTTGTTATAACTGAGGTACTTACATTGACACATCATAATCACCTAAAGATCATAGTTTATATAAGGGTTCACTCTTGGCATTGTATATTTTATAGGTTTGGACAAATGTATAATGACATATATCCACAATTATAGTATCACACGGAGGAGTTTCCCTGTCCTGAAAATCTTCTGTGTCTCTCCTATTCATCTCTCTCTCTCTCCAACCCCTGGAAGCCATTGATCTTTTCACTGTCACCACAGTTTGTACTTTTCTAGAATGTCATATAGTTGGAGGTTTTTATTTTGTAGCTTTTTCAGACTGGCTTCTTTCATTTAGTAATATGCAAGTATGCACTTAAGTTTCCTGAATGCCTTTTCATGGCTTGACAGCTCATTTCCTTTAAAAAAAAAAAAAAAAAAAAAAAATAGTCTTACTTGATTTCTGACATGGACAGAACCTTTTCCCAGATCGAGGACATTCTCCACAAGCACCAACATGGCAAACTTGCTCACATGTGTGATTACCACATGGCAGTGTTTTTCCACATACCTAAAATAAAATGCAATTAACACTAATGAAGGATTTAAAAGTTAACAAAAAAAGACTTCATACAGGACATAATCCACTTTTCAATCACAAATAACTGCTTTAAATCCCTCATATTATTATACTTCATATTTTATACAGGTGTTATACATATGGATAGATACATACATACCTATGTATACACACACATGTATTTCCTATGCACCAAAAAGTATATTTTAAAAATACAATAAAGAAAAAAAGTACATACAGCTTCATAGGATCATTCATCAAAGAGTTCTAAGTGGCACTAAAACCACACCAATTCTAGGACAAGCAACCTATAAAATCAATCTCACTTCCTCAATTGGATTAATTCAAGAAGTGGGGAGGGGTGTTGTTGGTTGAAGAAAAGAGAAAGAGAGGAAGGGAATAAGAGCTAGCAAGGAGTACAAATGTACTGAATCTAAAATTCAACAAACAGCTGTGACTTTGAAAAAAAATTTTCCTCCAATAATTAAAATGATATTAAATTTAAAAGTAGTTTCTTAAAATATAATTCATCTGAGTTGCTATTCTTCCTCACCTTTTATCCAACTAAACCTAATTAGCCTTGCTGCTTTCTAGTTGTCTATGCTTTGTCTATTCTTTAATGCCCATCCCTCAAAATGCATATAAACTTACTTGATCACAGTGCCATAATGGACTTGAACAACTTCTTTCAGCTACTTTCTTGCCACAGACACACTTCTGTCTACTAACTCTTGGACAAGGCTGACAACTTCCTAAAACCAGAATGATATATTAGCACAGAAACATAAAAGCAATAAAGATTGCTTTGACTTTTGCCTAACGTCAGAAAATCTAATAGGTATGGCCTTTTACCTGCATGACAAGGATTTCCACATTTATGTTGCCCACAAAGCAACTTTCGTCCACATGGCAGCTGACAGGACCATTCCTTGGCACTGCACCTACGAGGGATAGGTTTTGCTTTCTTACAGTAACAAGTAGTTGTGACCATCTTTGGACAAGGAGGGCAGGGACCTAGAATCCAATAAAAACCAAAAAAAAAAAAAAAAAAAATCTAAAGTCAGAAACTAAAACTTTTAACTCCTACACCTATCAATATTTCTTTACTGATACTTTACAAAGGTAATAATTTTCAATATTTTCTCATGGCAAACTTAAATTCTGAATTCAACTTTTACAACTTTTTTTGCCTCAACATAAGAAATAATCGCCCACAAGCAAGTAAAAATGCAATATATAACTCACCTGGATGACAGAGGAGTAAACACTTATGGCCACAAGGAGGTTTAAATTCTCGCTCACATACTTGGCCACATGAATGAGGCACAAGCCATGGATCTAAAGGTGGATCTTCTACTTTTCCACAATAGCAATAGTACCTACTAGGTGTTTCAGATCGTTTATATTCAAACCTACATTTTGGACTACAAAGAAGAATGAAATTACTAAAGCTAACTTCACCTCTAAAAGCAACACAAATATAAATATACTTAGTAACAGAGTATATTCTGTTAAATTAGTTTTATCTTAAGGAACTCTGCTCCATCTTTGTGTTAGTAAATAGGATCTTATTAAAATCTATTTCAACCATATAGAACAGCTCTACACAATACAATGTGCTTAGATGATGGTACAGTTTTATACCTGGATTGTCCAGTACAGTAGCCATTAGCCACATATTGTGAGCACTTGAAATGTGGCTACTGCTTACAACTGAGGAAGAAACAGAATTTTTTATTTTATAATTTCTAAATATTTAAATAGCTACATGTGGCTAGTTGCCACGAATTAAACGGCACATATCTAGAATACAGCTACAAAAAGAAAGTAAAATTAGTTTTCTACTAACCACCTGAACTTTATTCTTGAGGAATTCACACTGCTTTTCATAAAACTCAATTTTTTAAAGTTTTGTTTTGTGGTTTACAAATAAAATATATTAGCAACAGCAAACAGAAGACAGAAGTCAGGTTATAGACAAGCAATACAGCAAGGAAAATGGCTACAATTTAGAATTAAGGGGGAATAAACTTGAAAATAAAGAATTTCATAATTCTCAACATCTAGTACAAAAAAACATATAATATTCTTCTTTTTTCTTTTTTTTTTTTTTTGAGACAGGGTCTCACTCTGTTACCCAGGATGGAGTACAGTGGTGCAATCTCGGCTCACTGCAACCTCTGCCTCCTAGGTACAAGAAATTCTTGTGCTTCAGCATCCTGAGTAGCTGGGACTACCAATGCGTGCCACCACGCCCGGCTAATTTTTTGTATTTTTAGTAGATCAAGGGTTTTGCCACGTTGGCCAGGCTGGTCTTGAACTCCTGACCTCAAGTGATCCAACAGCCTTGGCCTCCCAAAGTGCTGGGATTACAGGCGTGAGCCACCATGCCCCACCCAAAAAAGATACAATTTGAGTGTGCCTAAGTCAAAGAAAAGTTCAAGTACCATGAAAGACTTTAAACTTCCATCATTAAAATAAATAAATTTTGGTAGAAGTGTTAACCTTCAACTCTATCAAAAATGTACTTGTAGATCATCATAGATCACTTCATTCTCAGAAGATGCTCTAAACCTTATCTCCCAGACAAATGAGTATAGTTAGTATACTACTCTACAATAAGTTTCACATTAACATTTAAAATTTCTTTTGTATCATATACAAAACATTTTCACTGTCATGAGAACATGTTCTGTTTCCAAATAAATGCCACATAAATATTCAAAATAACCCAAAAGATATTTTTTCTTATAAATAAAAATCAAAAACAAAATATTAAGTTCACCTGCATCTGGAATAAATAACTGGTACTTAGTTGGAAGAGTTCAATTTTCTCTTATTAAAAGTGTTTACTATTCCTTTAAGCTAGTGTGGAGGGGGATATGTATTTCTAATAAGCATGCATATAGATGACTAATAGGCAACTCACCATACCTTAACACTGCCCACCTGCACTGAGGCTGTAGTGGCCCAGTGAGGGTAATATGTACAAATGAGTAAGTTTTATTTTAAATAACGGGATGCCAACGATGAAATGTAATTATGCTACATCTTCTTCACAAAAAAGCAATATCTTTTTTGTGAAACCTGTATTTAAAATTTTTTATTTCTATAAAATAACTTAAAATTATTAACATTTTACCAAGTTCTAGCTCCATCTTTATAAGGATTAAGCAAAATGGGTTCCCAACCAGAATGGTCATTTATTTTCTTTCTTAAAAAATTTGAAATATGGAATGCAAAGTATATGGCACAGCTGATTAAACTGTTGTTCGTTTTAAATTATAAGAAAAGTAACAGTACATTATTTTTTTAAACTGATCCTTTCCTCCTATGACAAATTGACTACTTAAAAGTGAGAAGAACGAGGGTAAGAAAAAACATACATTGCAAGCTAGAATATCTGGCTTAATTCTACATCTATCAAACACTAAAATTCCTACACCACAAATAAATAATATGCAGGAGCAAAACAAATGTACTTCGAAATGTTAAACAGTGTGCATTCAATTTCCAAACAGTGTGCATTCAATGAAAAGAAAGTATTTCTAAAAGCAAGCTCGTAAGACACAACTCAGCTGGAAGAATACAAAAAGAACTGAATTTAGAAGTAAGAAATCCTAGGTTTCAAATTTTGGAAAGAGTGAGGAGCCTGAAGTCAGTTCCCTTCAATTAACTTCAATATACCCATTGGTAACAGGAGAATAAAATCTCTCATAGATTGCTGAGAATTATTTTTACATACTCTTCTAAAAGTAACTAGCATGCCTAAAATGTTTTTTAAAACTACACTTCTGGCCAGACATGGTGGCTTATGCCTGTAATCTCAGCACTTTGGGAGTCCCAGATGGGTGGATCACTTAAGGTCAGAAGTTCAATACCAGCCTGACCAACATGCTGAAACCCCATCTCTACTAAAAATATAAAAATTAGGCATGGTAGCGGGCACCGGTAATCCTACCTCCTCTGAAGGCTGAGATAGAAGAATTGCTTGAGGCAGTGGTTGCAGTGAGCCGAGGCCACTCTACTGCACTCCAGCCTGGACAATACAGCAAAACCCTGTCTCAAAAAGAAAAATAACACACAAAATTTTAAATATAAAATCAGTTATTAATGTTACAAAATGTGACCAAACAGAGTCCCTGAAGCTTATACTTCATTACTCTGACAGTCAGTCTACCTCTTTGGGCTGCCAATATGAATAAATTTGTTATTATCTTTATTTAGCAGTGATATAAAATTCTACTCTCCAACTCTTTCTGGAAATATAACAAAAGATCAAATAGTCAATAATAAGCAAAACTCATAAAATAAATGTAAAAAAAAATATTGTATAATATACACCTGCAGTTTTAAGCTTTCAGAGGATAAAACTGGGAATCGTATAATCGAAATACGTTAAATGACAGTCTTGTACCACGTAGTAATAATGTATGCTCACAGGAATTCTGGACAAGAAGACTGCAATTATGAATGATTCTCAGTCCTACAGAAAATTGAAAGTCCTTTCAAAGCATAATTAAGGAATTGTTTTGCAGGGGAAAAATTAAGTCTGGATGATTTATTAGTTATCAAAATGAACAAGTAGTTATACAAATTGAAAAAAACGGGCCATTACCAAGGTTCCATAGCTTCACAAACCAAATGACTACTTAAAGGCCCAATATAGATATTGAAACCACCAATAAAGCAACTTAGAACCTATAATTTTCATTTCTTCTACAATTTAATAATCAAACTAGGCTGGGCGTGGTGGCTCATGCCTGTAATCCCAGCACTTTGGGATTTTTTGGGGGCGGGTCACCTGAGGTCAGAAGTTCAATACCAACCTGGCTGACATGGTGAAACCCCATCTCTACTAAAAATACAAAAATTAGCCAGACATAGTGGCGGGCACCTGTAATCCCAGCTGCTCAGGAGGCTGAGGCAGGAAAACCTCCTGAACCCGGGAGACAGAGGTTGCAGTGAGCCAAGATCGACACTGTACTCCAGCCTGAGCGACAAGCGTGAAACTCCGTCTCAAAATAATAGTAATAATCTAACTAATTAGAAAAAGTTACCAAGGCCAGGGATAACCTCTCTTTCCAAAATCATCATCGGTCACAGAAGATACAAGAAACTGACTGTCTTTAGCCCACTTCTGGATACATGGCATGTGAAATATACAGAAACATCCCAAACAGCTCCAAACCTAAGACAAAAGTGTCAGAAGTTAATATATGTTCAATTATTTGTCTTTGTTAATTCTAAAACAATTTAATATGAATATCACACTAAATCATTTTCAAGAGCTATTTAAGGATTAAAGAAAAAAAATCTTTCCTTCGACTATAATAGAACTGTTTCATGGGAAATGCATTTAAAGGTAGAATACTTTAAAGAAAATTATTATTTATCACCTAGATTCATTCAGCTAGAAATAATTACTGCTAACATTCTGGACAGTCTCCAAATTTATATACATATATTTTTTCATACTTTTAAAAAATGAGGTTATACTATAATTGAAATACAACTTTATAGTCTTTTTTATAAGCATATTTATAGCTAAACAGTATATCACATAGATTTAAGTACTTAAACAAATTTCTCGTTATTAAGTGGTTATTTCCAAGTATAAATAACACTACAAAAGAATCCTTAAACATAAATATGTACATATATCTCTACATAGCCTTTTTATTATATAAAACCTATTAGTCTAACACCTTACTAATGCTAAATTCTAAAAATTAGGTAATCAAAAAACAAGAATATCTATAATTTAAAAGCTTAAGGAATAATACTAAATATATTTTTGAAACCTGCCAAACATTTTGATATAACTGATAAAAATCAGTTCTCCTTTCCTTATAACATTTTACAACTGTTTGATAAAATCAGACATGTAGCATATTGCATGAGCTAGCAACAGCATTAAACAGCCAACTTCTTGGTTTGGGTTACCCCCAAAGCAGTATCTGAGATAAGAGCTTGGATGCAGGAGTGAGGGGACTAGACGGGAAAAAGAAATGCCAATGAATGATATATTGTTGAGCTGATTACCACTAAGGGGCACAGAAGCTCAATCCTACAGGGGGACCTCTGCAGAACCATGTAAAACATGCCTTGGACTACCCAGCCCCACCAGCTAATGGAAAGGAGGCTGAGGCATTCACCTACCAACTCCCTGTGGTTGAATGTTGCTGCATGGGGCTTTAACTCCCCAGCGCTTCTGCACCATACCCATGTATCAGCTAAGTCAATTTCCAAGAAGAAAAGTTAGAGGTGGAAAAAACACACACACATAGTAAGTGTTTAAAGTGTATTTCTATCTACATGCAGAGACTATTCATTCCCTGAAGCTGAAATCAGAGTAAACCAACTAGATGTGACTCTAGACACAAAAAGCATCTGTATCTGCTATATTCTTCTATCCAACCTGAGCATGTTACATTTCTGATTCACTCTACATGACCAAACTATTGCATCTGGCTTGATTTGCTTTCTCTAGGCAATGTTGCTGTAATAGCAGTGAATTAATCTAAGGTCAAAATGTTGAGTCTTTCACATTCAGTAATCACTTCTCCTTAATTGCTTCATTAATGACCTTTTAAATGTACATATATACATCTTCATCACTAGGCCATAGCTCCTTTAAGGACATGAGTTTTGTCTGAATCTCTCTCTTCCCACTGACCCTCACCACTTCCCAAAATGCCTTTAACACAGGATAGGTTAACTAATTAAGCCATAAGTGTTACTGCCAAGTTCTACTTCCTTGAAGATAGTGAGAATATCTTTTTCAAACCCACTAAAAGTAATATAGTACATTTCAACATTTCATTTTTATGGGAATCTCTAAAGTACAGATACTAAAAATGTTTTATCAAATCAACATTTGCATTAAAACTGACGATAACTAAGCTACATCAATAGTGCTAAAAATACTAAATGCTCATTTGGTGGTAAGGTAATTTTTTTAAAATTCCAGATTTTAAAATGAAGATCAATTCATATACAAAATTCTCAAATAAAGCACTTTTAAACAAAAGCAAGCAGAAGAATAATAAATCACTGTTAAGTATCACAAGTGCAAACGAAGATATTTTGAGGAGATACATTAATATAAATGAGAAAAACTTACTGCTTGGTTTCTCTTCACGGAAGCAATACAAATTAAGCACGTCATAGCCCCTGCTTGAAAAGCTTCATTTACATATTGTTTTGTTCTCTCTAATTCACGTATATCTCCATCTGGAAATTTAAAGATTTAAAAATCTCATGCTGCACAACATCTGAAAATAACACAAACTCACTAATAGCACCACATTACATAAGAACTGTCTAGCAATATCGATCGCTCAAAATATAGCTGTAAAACAAGAAGTTTTTAAAAAAAGGAACCAATGAGCTGTCAAGAGGTCACAAAGTCTGTGTAATAAATCTTGCATACATGGTTCAAAAACAGTATCTCGGCTCTCTCACTGTACACCTGCTTTTGTGGTTGTTACAATTCTCAACCGATTTGGTGGAGGCAGAGCCATAAGCAAGAGCAGCAAGATGTAAAGTCTTAAGGAAAAGCGAAGTGTGAAAGGAAGAACCTAAACTAATTAGTAGAGCCACTTAGCATAAATATAAGCATAGATGTGAGTGTGTGTGTGCATATTTACTAGGTGTATTCTTAATAAAAACTTGCTGAATGAAAAGACTCTGAGGCTTTTACAGTGCAATAACTACATCTCATGAAATTATGTTCACTATTTCTGCTTAAAAAGGTAGCATAAACTTTTTAGGAAAAAAAGTACCCGACAGTATTTTATTTAAGTAATTATTCACTGCTTCTTTGCTAGACACTGTACTATTAGTATTTCAATAGGATTAAATGAGTTACTATTATTTTCATTTTACAGATGAGAAAACTGAGGCACAAAACAGGTAACTTTAGTTTGCCCACAAAGTAAACCCTCTTAACCTCTATGCTACACTGCAATGAGCAGTAACTGCAGGAAGGTCCAACAAATAACAAGTAACAGCAAAATGAAAAACAGAACAAGTACCCTAAAGTACAAATGACACCAAAAGGGCAATAATCTGAGTCACTTTAGTATGAGAGAAATAAGTCTACATGCCTTTAGAACAATAAAGATTGTTCAATAGAGGTTGACTGAGTCTTCAAAAAAAAAGTAGATTAAAGTGTAAACTACCATAGGTACAGAACTTACCATGGAAATAACATGGTTCAAGCCAAATTTAAATTGCCAAAAAGAAAAATTAAATAGGACATGTGGCTAATCTTTACTTTCTAAAATCATCTGAGTAAACACGGCACTTACGAAAGCTTGCCCTGCCATAATATAAATGTGATTTAGGACATTAAACAAAATAAATGCAAACACACTCTCAAAACTATAAATTATTATAAAATTATTAAAGACAATTGCTTTATTTTAAACAAACGCTGAATTAAAAAAAAAAAATCCTTAAAAGCAGAATAATAATATAGGGTGCTTATTTTGTTTTTCAACAAAGCTGGCTTTAACAGACATAAAACATTTTAAATTTCATCTAATTTAACAGCTAACTCAAAAAACACAATTTAAGAAGATAGAACAGGCTTTTACAAAATAAAAACCTTTTATTTTAAAAATTTATGTAAGATTTCTTTGAAACATGCATTAAAATTTGGCTGCAGCAATAAAATGTACTGCCCAGCACATCACAGCAGATAGTATGGCATTTGAAGTCATGTATTTTAAAAAGATCACTCTGGCACCTAAAGAAAAATGAGTATGTGGAGGCCACGACTGAAAGTAGGAAGTACCAGTTAAGAGGCAGTTACAGCAGATAAAGCAAAAAAAAATGACCTTGGGCAAGTTCCCTAATGTGTCTCTGTTTTCTGATCTGTAAAATTAGTTGTAACAGTTATCTGCCTCACAGTTATTATGTGGATTTAATTCAGATGTTAAGCAGCTGTAAAGTCTTGAACTAGGCAATAACAGGACATAGGCAGCGTAAGGGTAGATTTAAGAAATCTAGGAAGCAAAACTTAGGAGGACCTGGTGACAATTACGTTGTGATAGTTTTAAAAGCTGAAGTTCATGTTAAGATGCAGAAGGAAAGAGTGCTGTGTCTGCTGAGCTGTTTGACATGGGCAGAGGGAGAACTGCAGTAAATAACACGCATGTGCCATCTCTGCTTGGCTTGGGAGGGTGACTGAGAAAACTGTAGTGCCATTAAGATAAAGAAAACAAAAGAATAAATAAGTTCTCTTTCAACATCAGTTTGATGTGTCCATGATAGAGATACTCATCAGGAAGTGGGCTGTGCAAGTTTGAAATCTGAGAGAAGGATCACAAAAATGCCAAGGCTGAGCTCAAATAAAAATGAACTCCTTTGGTAAAGTCCTGCTCTTCAATTCACTAATGTGAGGTAGGAACCATCCCATTACTCTGGCATGTATGTTCTTAACTCAAGTGATCAGATTTTCTTACATTGGTAGAGGCAAAGGAATAAGAATCAAATACTAATGGATTTTACGTAAAACATAGCATAAAAAAATTACCATAACACTTTAAGATTAAAACCAGATTAAAAATTAAAACTTAGAAATAACAAATGTTTTCTAAATACTAGACTCAAAGACTAGTTATTGCATTATTGCATTTTCTATTTAAAAATAAAATCTGACTCTATCTAGAACGGTTTGAGGTCCTCTTGAAGCAGAAAACTTAAGATTATTTTCTATGAAGTCCTTTAGAAACAAGAAACCCTCTAACCTTAAGAGTTACTTTTTATCAATTCTCACCTAGCTGAACTAGACTATCTAGCCAAACTTCCTAATCTTAATTCCTTAGCAGATATAGTAAATTCCTTAGAAACCTACTTGATGATGTGCAACTATCTTCATGATCCCATCAATATATTCAGGCAACTGTCTAATCACCAAGGATATGGGGTGGGAAGGGAAGAGTGAAATACATAAATCTTTCTGTCTAAAGATTTTATTAACTCTCAGCCAGGCACAGTGGCTCACACCTGCCATTTTGGGAAGCTGAGGTGGGAGAATTCCCTGTAGCCAGGAATTCAAGACCAGCCCCGGCAACACAGGGAGATCCTGTCTCTACAAAAAAATTCTAAAAAAATTAGCTAGGCATGGTGGTGTGTGCTTGCATTACCAGCTACTTGGGAAGCTAAAGCAGGAGGATCACTTGAGCCCAGCAGTTCAAGATTGTAGAGAGCTATGATCACACCACTGCACTCCAACCTAGGCAATAGAAAGAAGACTGTCTCCTAAAAAAAAGTAAAAGGCTAACTCTCAGGCTCTTTACTTGCCTTTATTCTAACTCATGTTCAAACTCTGCTATGCTTCTGATTCTGTTGTACTAACAGTCCTTAATCCTGACATCACTGACCTTATACTTCCCATGAAAGCACAATATAATAACTAAGGAACACATCAGTATAGAGTAGAAGACGAGCGCTTAGGATGTGAGGCCTTATGATCAAGGAAAGACATGATTGAAAAAAGAAACAGATTTTGTAGAAGAAAGCAGCAGAGATGATAGAAAATCTCTAATAATCAAGCCACCAAATCTGTAATAGTCAAGCAAACAGACATACAGCACAGACTACACGATAGGCACTGCTGTGATTCATTTCTTACACAGTGCTTACACATAGTGATTCATTTCATCCTAACAACTTTAAGGTATTTACTGTCATTATATCCATTTTACAAAACAAGAAAATGAACTCCTAAGATGCTAAGGAATATGTCAAACATACAGCCAAGTAGCAAAGCCAAGGATTAAACCGTGGCAATGTGGCTCAAGAGTCAACATTCTTAACTGCTGTACAATGCTACTTTTTCCCCATAAACAGGTACAAAAGCAAAAGTCTAATCTCAGAATTTTTCTGCTTTTACAGAGAAAATGCAATCAGCCCACTAATGGCTCTAAAGCTAAGCAAACTAGGTTTAAACCCAGCTCTGCCAATTACTAATTGTGTAACTCTAGGAAAGTCACCTCTCCACTGTAGAATTGTTTCCTAAAATATTTCTAAGGTTTTCCTGGTTTTAACAGGATACTAAAGTAAGAAAAGGAACCAAGTAAGGGTATAAAATTCAATACTAATAAAAGGCATATAAACAATATGACATATCTACAAATATACTGATAAATGTTGACATTACATGCAAGAATATATTTTTTTTTATTGAAAGGGAGTCTTGCTCTGTCACCCAGGCTGGATTGCAGTGGTGCGACCTCGGCTCACTGCAACCTTCGCCTCTCAGGTTCAAGCAATTCTCTTGCCTCAGGCTCCCCAGTAGCTGGGATTACAGGCATGTGTCACCAGGCCCAGCTAATTTTTTTGCATTTTTAGTAGAGATGGGATTTCACTATGTTGGCCAGGCAGGTCTCAAACTCCTCACCTCAGGTGGTCCCCCCCACCTCAGCCTCCCAAAGTGCTGGGATTACAGGCATGAGCCACCACACCTGGCCTACATGCAAGAATATTTCCAATAATGATTTTAAAGAATAAAAGGTAGAAAGTTTAATATTTACATTTAAAACAATCTTTAGTTAATAGTAAAGTGGTACAACTGCAACATCACTTTGGCCCTCTTTCACATAAACAAACGTGGCTTTAAGAGTACCCAGATATAAACCACAGATAACATAATGTACATATCAAACCTGAGGAAATTTAGGTTTTTTTTAAAAAGTATGGCTAGGTGCCGTGGCACATGCCTACTGTCCCAGCTACTCAGGAAGCTGAGGCAGGAGGATCACTTGAGCCCAGCAGTTCGAGGTTTCAGTGAACTATGATTGTACCACTGCACTCCGGCCTGGGCAACAGAACAAGATCCCAACTCTAAAAATAAATAAATGAAAATCAGATGTTGTAAATGAGATAAAAAATAAGGAAATAAAGAATTAAAAAGACTTCAAAACACATTGAA